AAATTGTTTAGGGATGAACGGTTTTAAGAGTTTAAGAGTTTAAGAGTTTTTAAGAGTTTTAGTCAAATGCTTTATAATATAGTATATATATATATATATATATATATATATATATATATATATGGTTGGGTTCAGTGAGACCAAGAGTTTTTCGTGAGACACGTAAGACCAATTTATGTTCATTGATCAACTTTATAAGCTAATGACCTAATGGTCTAAAGTTACACGATGACAATTTTGCGATTATTGAGAAGTCTCGTGACAATTTTGTGATTATGAATTTTCAGATTGTAGATCTAATCCAAGGATTGAGAATTGGTCTCACGGGTCTCACGAAAAACCCTTGGTCTCACATGATTCCAAGTCTACAAACCTATATTAGCAATCAATGTCACCGTTCCTTATTGTTAATAAAGACTTTGATTTTAGGATCAGGGGTAGTTTCGTATTTTTCAAGTTTTTTTATTCGGTTACATAAATCATATCCCGATTTTTAAGCAAGTTAATTAGAGATGATATGGTTTTGAATATCTAGAATTAATGACGAGATATTTTCAGTTATTACGTAACCGTTTTTATATATAAAACTGGATTTGCAAAAACTGTTACGGATTAAATTATATGGATTGAAGTTTTGGTAATAAGTTCATATATGAAATTCAACTGATAAATAGACAATGGTTCTGCATGTTTACTGGTATTTCATACACAGATCATCTATGAACATAAATCCAATATCGAGAATTATATTGGTAATTTAATTGCATCCTCTTTCTTCTCTTCCACAGCTTCCATTCTCGATTTCAGCCTCCATTCTTAAAATGTTAAACCTTTGACGATGGCGTGACAAATGTTATTTGCTATTGTTGTGTTTAAACCTTTTAAATTATATGCGTATTTTGAATTTGTGGTATGACAAATGTTATTTACATGTGGTCTTGGAATGTTAAAAAAAATATTGATATCTTAGAATAAATAATTTAAGTATATTTTTGGTTGATTTGTTGTCATTTACAATCATTATATGATATAAGATAATATTGACCAACATTTACGGGTAATATGGTCATTTTAATAGTTTTGTCATGTTCTGTTCTATTCTAGTCATATCATGGGTTGGGTTGATTGGGGTGAGGACATTTGAACAACCCAACCCAATGCTTGCGATTTGGAAAAATCTTAATCCAACCCAAACCAAAGTGCAACCCAACCCAATCCGTACGGATACTGTAGTATATTAAAATATTCTTGTAACCTTGAATATGTTTCTCTACTCATAATCTTTTTTTCATCATCAACCATTTGATACAACTTACTCATATTTCTTATGTATATCACATTCAATTAATTTTCTCAATTTACATATATATATGTTCACAATTACTGAATGAGTTATATAGAGATATGAATAAATTGAAAATATGTGTATATGAAAAGCATATACATGATAGTGTAATTGTCTAATATATATATTAATAGAAATTCAACAATCATATTAAATCCAAGAAATAAAAAAATATCGGGTTCATCGGATTGGGTTGAGTTCAAATAATAGTAACTCAATATCAACCTAATACCTATAATTTGACAATTTTACAACTCGATTAGACATTGGATTACTTTAGGTTAAATTATTTCGCCTTCGATTGGATTGATAGGGTTTGTGGTTTTGAGCACCGGTTCAACCATAATTCAAACGATAATTTGTGGGCCAATCGGATCAAAAGGCGTCGGACGGTGTAAAGTCGGAATCCATAGTTACCGATTCCATCTATCACCAGAAGAAAACCTCTGATTCTTCCATCGATCCTACAATCCGATCTCCATAACTGCATTTGATTCATTCTACCCGAAACGCCCTCTAAATCCATCTTATTTTTCTCTATAAATTTTCATCTACGCACTTGCCATCATCCATCCATTCATTCCTTGAACCGTTACCAATGGCAGAACAAAAACCACAGCTCTTTGAACTCAACAATGGAAAAATGAAGGTTATCGTCTCCAACTATGGCTGCATCATCACTTCCTTGTTCGTTCCTGATAAAGATGGTATTTTTCTCCCCTTTCTTCTCGCTTTTCATTTCAAGTTCTGTAATCATCGATGACGTTTCGGATTTTGAATATTTGAAGGAAAATTGGGTGATGTTGTTCTTGGATTTGACTCTCTCGAACCCTATCTGGTGAGTTCCATGATAATTGACTGCGAAAGCAACATCATCTTCTTGTTTATCCAAATCAATTGTACTCTTTCTTTTTTCCTGATTAGGGTTTAACAAAACACGATTCGTCCTTACCACAAAAAAGGATATGATTCAATTTGATATTGAGGAACAGATTTTTTACTTCAAAACTGATATGAGTTCGTTTAGCATTTGGGAAAAATTTGATAGCTGCATTTGGGGTTTCATGATTGTAACAAGATCCATATCAATTCAAGCTTGGAGGCTCTGGATTTGAACCCAAATGTTCAAATGCAGAACCATTTTCTGGGAGTTGGAACTGTATATAAAAACAACTTATTGACTTATTTCGGTGTGGTACTGGTAATAAGTTGTTTTTGATAAGTTAATCCTTCCTGACTTATGAAAAACTGCTTATTATCAGTTTACAATTTTAACCCTGTTTTATTTAACTCCGATTTGATACCACATAAGTTAATAAACACTTTTACAAAAAAACGTAAGTTGTTTTAAATAAGCAATCCCAAACACCCCTTTATACCAGTGCCAAACCGGTAATAAGGAGTTTTTAATGAATTTAAACCCCTCTGACTTATAATAAGTTGATAAATGCTTTTGTAGAAAAACATAACTGGTTTCAAATAAGCAATCCCAAACACCCCCTAATAATTTAGGGGGTTCTTGGATGTGCCTTTAAGTTGATTATTGCAATTTGAAGCTGTAATAATCAATTTAGGGGCCATTTACCAAACGATTACCGGGTAAGCACTTAAGGGTAAGTGTCACCACTCTCACTATATTAGGTAAGATTCTCGGCCCTCAAAATAGCATAGTAGGCAATAATCTTATCCGGTAAGTGTTAACCTGGTATCAGTCACCACCCTCACTTATCGGGTCAGATTGTCGATCCTTGCCAGGGCTCATTCCGAGTAAAGATTCTCAGTTCTTGCCATGCTTACCCGGTTAGAGCTTGGTAAACGGCCCTTTAGTTTGCAACCTTATCCAAACACTCCATTAGTATGCAGTTTTGCACCACTTCTTTCCTTCTAGAAAGGCATATGTGCTCATTATATTCTATTTTGAATTTGATTTTCATGCCCGTCCCTTAGCATGTTAAATGTGAGATTTTGAACAGGGCCTCCAAATTTACATGTGTTTAGGGTCTTTTATCGACCTGTGTAAAACTATAGCCGAAATTATTTAGGTTCAAACCGTTAATTGTTTGGTTTTATGTTCAAATCATTAATGATTTAGGTTTAGTTTCAGATTGTTAATCGTTTTAGGTTTAGCCCATTTTTGTTTTTAACATATATTCTCTGTTATCTCATTTATTCAATGTAATCAAAAGTTTTAGATGTAGCAGAACCTCCAAAAAGATTGGAACGTCCCTGTTTCCTATATATATATATATATATATGCTGCATTTTTGTCATTTTTGTTTCATCAGAAAGGTGCTGCACCCTACTTTGGTTGCATTGTTGGAAGGGTTGCAAATAGGATTAAGGAGGGGAAGTTCACACTCAATGGGACGGAATATTCGTTGCCAATTAACAACGGTCCAAACAGTCTCCATGGTACGGGGTAACTGCCTTCTGTTTATATCTACGCATATAATTGTCGATAAGGGTCAAAAGATTTGGTTCTGTTTTTACTAAAGCTTCCCGAACCGTGAATAAGCACTTGATAAAGCAACCATGGTGATCAAGATATAGTTATATAAAGAGTGTGAATGGAGCTATGAAAAATTCAAGAATCGAAGGACCAACTAATATGAGTTACTTGGAGGAAAGTCATATAACTCAACAAAACCAAATCATGATCCAGAGCTTGTTGTTTGATGCATAAGAACTTAAGGGCCGTTTGACAGTTGCTGAATGGTTTAGTGCAGAATGATTAAGTGATCAGAATGACTAAGAGGCTTTCATGATATAGTGCAGAATGAAATATAATTGTTTACGATGAAATTAGTGCGCTTAATGGTTAAGAGAGTCCCATGATACAAAATCATTCAGAGGGTTTTAGAACCATTAAGAGGCAGACTTTTTATTACCAAACAAGATTAGATGTTGCCTCTTAATGGAACTGTTAAGAGGTAAACAAAGAATCCCTTCGTTATATTTCGATGCATTTAGCTGAATAGCTCTTCCTTTTTCTTATATGAAGGTGGGCTTAAAGGATTTGACAAGGTAGTTTGGGAAGTCGTTGAACATAAACAAGGCGACAATCCGTCAATAACCTTTAAGTATCGTGCTTGTGATGGGGAAGAAGGTATCCGTCTCTCTCTCACTATATATATATATATATATATCAAACAAGAACCACAAAAAGGTTGAAAACCGTTAGAACTTACCTTAAGCTATTGGTTCATACCATCTAAGGCTAGGATTTAAGTTATTGATCAACATATATTTGTTTCACGATGTTTACCTGTCTTTTTTGTTTTTACTGCACGTAAAAAAGTTTCACAATATGAAACAAAACCACCCGGGGGGTCCTCCAAGGAAACAACTTCTCTACCCTTTGAGGTACAGGTGACTTCGTATATCCCACCCCTCTGAGACCTTGCTTTCGGGCGGGATGTATTAGGCTTGTTGGTTTACTTTGGTTCATATATGTCTCTCCTCCAAGAAAAAAACGCATTTAATTTAACGATCAATGATGTTGGAATCAGGTTACCCCGGAGATCTTTCCGTCACTGCAACTTACACTCTTACTTCAGCAACTGCATTGAGGCTCGACATGGAAGCAGTTCCCGAGAATAAGCCAACACCCGTTAATTTAGCTCAACATACCTACTGGAATCTGGCAGGCCACAATTCTGGTTCCATTCTCGACCATTCAGCGCAGATTTGGGCAAAATACATCACTCCCGTGGATCAACACACAATCCCGACCGGCGAGATCAAACCCGTCGCAGGAACTCCATTCGACTTCACCAACGAGAAGAAAATCGGCACTTCTATCCACGAGGTTGGTTTAGGGTACGACCACAACTACGTGCTCGATTGTGGGGAAGAAAAATCAGGCTTGAAACGTGCTGTGAAACTGAAGGACCCATCGAGCTCAAGAGTTCTCAACTTGTGGACCAATGCCCCCGGAATGCAGTTTTATACGGCTAATTACGTAAAGGGGATAGTCGGGAAAGGCGGAGCCGTGTATGAAAAACACGGAGGAGTGTGTTTGGAGACGCAGGGGTTTCCGAATGCCGTCAACCAAGCGAATTTCCCGTCGGTTGTCGTTCAACCTGGCGGTAAGTATCTACATAGTATGCTGTACGAGTTCTCGGTCGAATAAGGCTTTATTTTTCTGTGTTAATTAGATTTCGCATAAGTTGGTGAACTCCGTGTGCTTGTTTCGAAATAATGTTTGGTTATGAAAACGCTTCTAAATTTTGAACTTATTTGATGTTCAAAGCGTTTGAGGTGTTTAGCGTATTTTGAGGATCCGGAAAAAGTTTGCTCCAATAGCTATGCTAAACTCTCTTCTAAAATTGGGCAAATTGTATGAAAAAGTAATGACAACGTACTTTAATTTGATTCCTATTTTGGGTAAGGTACTTTCAAAACTTTCATTTTGGTACCTATGATGTAAAATTTTAAATATTTAAGTACCTAGTAACAGGTTATCATGTTGATGTGGCGAGTGATATGGTATCCAACTCGGTATTATTTGCTGACGTGGTTAGTGACATAGATTTTTTTAATCTAAAATTAGTCTTTTTTAATCTAAAATTAGTCCTCAACTGGTTACCCAGGTACTTAAATGTTTAAAACTTTACATCTTAGGTACCAAAATAGAAGTTCTGAAAATACGTTACCTAAAATAGAAATCAAGTTAAAGTACATTATTTTTTCATGCACTTTGCCCTCTAAAATACTATTAGGGGTTGTTTGTTTACCTCTTAATAGTTCAATTAAGAGACAGTCTTTGAATCGTTAAGAGGTGAATTTTGTTTGGCAAAAAAAAAGTCTGTCTCTTAATGGTTCTAAAACCCTCTGAATGATTTTGTTTCCTAAGGCTCCCTTAACCATTCAGCGAAATTTTAAACAATTACCAAACAATTACATTTCATTTTGCATTATATCATGAGAGTCTTTTAATCATTCTGACCACTTACTCATTCTGCATCAAACCATTCAGCAATTGATAAAGAGCCCTTTAGCGCCTAAGTTTGGTATTTTGGTTGTGGAGCGGTTAAAATAGGGTCTAAGACCGTCCAGGGCCTAAAACCGTCCAAGATCTAAGACCGGTTAACACGAGGACCGATCATGATTTGAACCAACTAACTCGAGATGGGTTAACCCGACGAGATGTGTTATATAAGCCTTCAAGATTCAATATTAACAGAGGTGTATGTGTATCGTTATAAAAAAAAAGTTGAAAATGTCACGACCTTCGGTTTCAAGGTCTAATTTGTTATTTTACTACCTTATAATGCATTTATGTAAAACATTTGCATTTCAAAGGGCTGTTTGACAGTTGTTAAATGATTAGGTGCATGATGATTAAGAGGCTTTCATGATAGTATAAAATGAAATGTAATTGTTTAGTAACTGTTTAGAATGAAATTAGAATGTTGAATAATTAAGGGAGACCCAAGATATTAAATCGTTCATAGTATTTTTGAATCATTAAGAGGCAGACTTATTTTGCCAAACAAGATTCACCCTCTTAACGATTCAGATGTTGTCTATTAATAGAACTATTAAGAGGTAAACAAACAAGTCCTAATACATTTAAAAGTTATTAACAAAATCATTGATATTTTTCACAAAAATAATATATAACAAAAAAATAAAATTAAAACAATTTTAATATATTTAACTTTATGTATAGATGTGTATGATTACAATGTTGTTTGTTTACCTTTTAATAGTTTTATTAAGAGGTGAATTTTATTTGGCAAAAAAAAAAATGCATCTTAATGGTTCTAAAACTCTCCGAATGATTTTGTATCATGGCCTCCTTAACCATTAAGCGTCCTAATTACGTTGTAAATAATTACCAAACAATTATATTTTATTTTGCATTATATCATGAGAGCTTCTTAATCATTCTGCACTAAACCATTCAGCAACTGCCAAACAACCCCTACGTATTGACGTAGTTCTGCTAAAACATAAATGTTAGGATTTTTAATGAGGAATTATATCATTTTTTTATTTTCGATTTACAATAAAATTTTATTTCATGTCGTATCAGAGCTAGTTGTGTTGAATGATTAGATAAAAGAATCAAAAACGAAAAACATGTCAAACGAATTGAGAACCAATTAAAATGTAGGTGAAAGGTCATGTGAGAACGGAAATTATGATGAAAAACGTGAGAAAAGATCTGAACTCTTGATCACTTCTACTATGATGTTCACCCATGAATTGCGTTATAGAAGGAATTTATTATGTGCATCACGGTGCATGTAATTAATGTTGACATTCGATTACAATTGATCAAATGATGGAGATCTCTTCTTATACTTCTGACTGAAACTCAACCCTTAAAATATATTTAATTAATCAAATACTAAAATAAATATTATAAATATCTTATAATAATTACTTAAAATTAACTTTATTTCTCTCCATAAATTTCTTATTTTTATAGAATAAAATTGCAATAATATAACTATACATCTTTATTTTATTTTTAATTTAATTATGGAATCTTAAAAACTCAATTTTCAAATAAATTGATTTTTAAAACTCAGTAATATAGACAAACATTTGTTATATACTAAAAGGGTACTCAAACAATACAGCGAGATAGATCTCGATTTTAATGTTTAGTTTTTATTTATTTGTCTTTATCTATATAATATGATTTTATGTGGTTTTGAGAAAATGATAATGTTTTTATTTTTGAATGAAATATAAATTTGAAGATAACATACAAACTTGAAAATAAATAAATTAGTATTAAATTAACTATTTAATAATTCTTTTTTTGGTGTAACTTATTTAATTCAATTTTTTATTATAATTTAATAGCAAAGTAATTTATTTTTGGTTTAACAATATAATTTTTTATAAAGATAATAATTAAAAATTCGGTTAGAACTCAATGATTATTTTAATTATATTTTAGATAATCTATATTTAAAATGAATGTTTATCCTGTATTTGATTATGTTTATTTACAATTAGTTACACGAATTTAAAAATGAAGCTTTAATAAGTTGTACTTACGCAAAATTACTTGTAATTTTGAATTTTAAGTAATATGCATCAATAAACAATATTTCATAAAGATACATAATAAAATTAGTGATAAAATCTCTAAAATAGAGAATCAGTTAAAGTTGAATGTAATTATTATAGATGCTCTAAGATTTTTCATAAAGATACACATAACATTTGTTATTTAAATTCAAATAAAGGGGATGTTTGGTAGTTGATGAATGGTTTGGTGCAAAATGATTAAGTGGTCAGAATGATTAAAAGGCTCTCGTGATATAATGCAAAATAAAATAGAATTGTTTGATAATTGTTTACAATGAAATTAGGGCGCTGAATAGTTAAAGAAGACACAAGTTGCAAAATCATTCCGAGTATTTTAGAACCATTAAGAGACAACTAACCTTTTTTTTGCCAAACAAGATTCAGGGGCTGTTTGCCAGTTGTTGAATAATTTAGTGCATAATAGTTAAGTGGTCAGAATGATTAAGAGGGCCAGAATGGTTAAGTGCTGAATGAAATAATGTTGTTTGGTAACTGTTCTCTGAATGACAGTAAATTACCATTTTAACCCTCTGTGCATAACCCATAAAATTTCTGTTGGTTTCTTGGAAAATCAAATACCATGGGGTATAACTAGGCTTGATAATCAATAACAATGGGTATAAGTTTCCTGAAATTTATGTTTGTTTCCTGGTATTTCAAGATCTGTTGTTTCAACATACAATATAACAATGGGGCAGAATAATACCTGAAGCGAGGAAAATGATGGAGGCGACTGGCGACGAGCGGCGATGTGCAGCGACGACGAGAGGCCACGACGACGGCCTTGGAAGAAGCCGACGTGAGACCTGCTGGAAGAAGAAGACCGACCGACGATCGTAGGGTGGGGGTGGCGATTTGCAGACCGGCGACGAGAGGGTGGGGGGAGGGGCTTTGAAGACCGGAGACGGGAGGGTGGGGGGAGTAGGGATGGTGATTTGCCCCGACCCGGTGGGGAACCCGGTTCACCCGACCCGAACATGGTCGGGGATTTCTCGCTAAAACGGGTCCCGGGGCCGGGGATCCCCGGTAGACTCAAAGCGGGGACGGAGAATGTTACTCAAAACGGGGTCGGAGTCGGGGCCGGGGATCCCCGGTATAACCAAACTAAAGCATACTTTTTACCGGGGATTGACCGGGGTTTACCGGGTTTTGACCAGGGATTGCTAGAATTTGACCGGGGACGAGATGATAATCCCCGTACCCGCCCGGGACCGGGGCCGGGGACGGGGGACGATATTACAAACTGGGGGCGGAGCCGAGGATTACAAAACCCGCCCCATCCCCGCCCCGTTGCCATGCCTAGGGGGGAGGGGTGTGAGCGACGTGTGAGGAAAGCTTGGGAGAGAGGACAAAGTTGGAAAAAAGAACAATATCAATGGTTTAGAGAAGCCCCAGATGCAAAGTGGTTAAGAGGGGTAGTGTAACCATTAAGAGCCTCTTTTTTTTTTTGCCAAACAACCTTGACCTCTTACCGATTAAGAGGTTGGCTCTTAATGTAACCATTAGGAGCCAAACAAACAACCCCTCACATCTTAACGATTCAGCGACTGCCTCTTAATGGAATATTAAGAGGTAAACAAACAACCCCAAAGTCTAGACCAGATATGAAACATTGGGTTCAAGCCTGGTTAAATCGGTTCGAACCATTGGATTCACATGAAAGACCAGACCGGGTTTTTTCTTTCCCTTTTATCGAAACTTCGCATGGAGAACAAGAACGATGTGTTCTCAAAACGTTTTTTATAAAGGAAAAGAGAGGGAAAGTAAAATAACTCGTGTTTTCGAAACTCTTTTAGAAGAGAAAAGAAATGAAATAAATCATAAATTTCTCCAAATGTGGGAGGAAACGGACCAAAAAGAAAAGAAAGAAATTAAAACACATTAAAAAGATTATTAAAATTACAAAACTATCCCAATCTTTAATAATAAAGAACATATTTTTAAAGGGTATATTTGTAAAAATATATATTTTCTTTCCTTTCTTTTTATTGAAGAACATGATTTTTTTTATTTCTTCCATTTTCCATTATTATTATTTTCCATGACTTCAGGATTGTTTGTTTATCTCTTAATAGTTTCATTAAGAGACAAACTCTAAATCGTTTAGAGGTGAATCTTGTTTGGTAAAAAAGTCTGTCTGTTAATGGTTCTTAAATCATGAGAATGATTTTATATCCTGGGGCACCCTTA